GATCGAGGCCGGCCAGCCTTCCAGAGCAGTCCTTTGGGTCGCACAGATCGAGGCCGGCCGGCCTTCCAGAGCAGCCCTTTGGGTCGCGGAGTGCAGGGCAAGCTCTGGATTGGAAGCAGCGGCCACACAGGCCACAGCAGCGCCAGCCTGGGGGAGGGCAGAGCTGGCCACCTGACCGCCTTACCGCGTGCCCGCCCCATCCCTGCTTCTCTCTGGCCTTCAAACTCCCTCAAACCTATTTAAGAAAAAGCCCCTTCTCCCCAGCGTGCCTCCCCTCTCAGCTGCCCTGCCCTCCTTCCCCTCATGGGAGCAGCCCCGCCCTGTGGTCTGACTCCAGGGACTCCCGAGGGCCTCGGCCAGGGCCCTTCGCAGCTTCATCCGACCCCGCTTTGACTTAGCACAGACTCACTGCGCAGCGGTTTGTGCGCCGGGTTCAGTGGTAACCAAGGCCTGTCTGCTCCTGCCTGGTGGAGCTCACGAACCTGGGAGGTGACAGATTATTAACAAAGCAGATGGGCGCTGGAAGGAGCAGACCGCTGGGAGTGGCCAGAGGCTGTAGAGGCCTTTGTTTCTGCCTTGTTCAGTCCATCCTTCCTGAAACGCCTCCACCCCTGGCACCACGACACCCTGCAGGGCCCCCTCCCCTCCTGTCCCGGCCTCCTGGCTGGGTGACGGCCTCCCCGTCAGTGTGGACTCTCACTCCACCTCGATTCCACGGCCTCTCGTAGCCACCTTCATCCTTGATGTCGTGCGGGACCCCAAACTATGTGTGGAGGAGGCCTGGGGACCCCAGGGCGCTGTGCCGCTAAACCAGGAGCCTTGCGTCTATGGGGCGGAGACCTCCTCCAGCTCTTCTGGGACTGAGCCTGGCGGGGAGAGGACGCGCTTTGTCCAGAATCAAGCATCGTGTCACCTCACTGGCCCCCACAGGACTAAACGATCCTGCGCATGTGGACATCTCTGCCACTCTATCAGTTTATTTTAACTAAAGCACTGAAGGAATTAGTTCTGAATTCTAAACCGGCAGAAAGTATAATACCTAAATAAGATCAGCAGTATTCCCACCGGACCAACTGGAGATGAGACGGCTGTTCTCACTCGGTGCACCCATCCCAGCTCTTCACTTCTGGGTCCCAGCATTTAGAGATGGTGATGGTGACCAAAGGTGTGGAGTCTCCCTTCTGCCGCATTTCTGTTGGGAATTTGCCAAACAGGACCTGCTAATATCCAAAACGATGTATTCTCCAGTAAAACCGTGTTTGAACTTGAACAAGGATTCAGCGTTTAGTCATCTAGTGACTGTCACACAGAGTCACGGGGCTCTCCGCTCCCCCATGCGCTGCTGGGGACACCTCCAGCTGCATTCTCAGAAGTACACAGGAGTCGTCCCATTTGGGGGCAGCTTAATATGCTCATTGCTATTTAGGTGTTTTTGGAAAATAAGTTCATTGGTTTCTTCAGCAAACCTTTTTTTTTTTTTTTTTTTTTGCGGTACGCGGGCCTCTCACTGCCGTGGCCTCTCCCGTTGCGGAGCACGGGCTCCGGACGCGCAGGCTCAGCGGCCATGGCTCACGGGCCCAGTTGCTCCGCGGCATGTGGGATCTTCCCGGACCGGGACACGAACCCGTGTCCCCTGCATCGGCAGGCGGACTCTCAACCACTGCGCCACCAGGGAAGCCCCAGGCCTAACTTTTTAAAGCTTAATTGTTTTTTAATTTGTGACGCTACAGTGGAATATAAAAATAATATATATATGTAACTATGTATATGTAATATGTGTGTATATATGCACATTTAACATACATGTTTTATAATATATATGTATAACGTATATGTGTAGATTAAATAAGTGTGTATAATGTGTAGTCACCGTGTATCCCAGATTGTACGCCACCGTGTAACCACCATCCAGATGAAGGCATAGAATGTTAACAGTATCTTAGACCAGGGAGCTACGCTTTTTCTGTGAAGGGCAAGACAGTAAATATTTTCGACACTGTGGGTCACAGGGCTCTGTTGGGACTCTCAGACGTCTTACTTTCTTCCCCTCCAGTGGATGTGTAGCAGTAACTCGTTGCTGTTTTAATTAGCATTTGTTGCTTACTAATGAAATTGGGCATTTTTTCATTTGTTTATTCATTAGTCAGTTTTCTTTATCTGCGAAGTGCCTGCTTGAGACTTTCTTACAGTTTTCACACTGGCTCGTCTGTCTTTCTTTCCTTGGTCAGCGGGAACGCTTACTTTGGTTTGGCCAGTAGATTTTTGTAAGTGGTAAGTGATGCAGGTATCTTCTCTCAGTTTGTGTTCAGTCTTCACCCTTTAAAAAAATTTTTAATTTAATTTTTCTTCCAGTTTACTGAGATATAATTGACAAACAGCACCATACAAGTTTAAGGTGTATGGCGTAATGATTTGACTTACGTATATTGTGAAATGATTATCACAATAAGTTTAGTGAGCATCTATCATCTCATATAAATATGAAATTAAAGAAACAGAAAAAAATGTGTGTGATGAGAATTCTTAGGTTTTAGTCTCTTAACTTTCGTATATAACATACAGATGTGTTATATATTATATATATGTTATACGTACAGCTGTGTTCATTATATTCAGCTGTATTCATGATATTTATCATGTTGTACATTACATCCCTAGTACTTATTTATCTTAGAACCGGAAGTTTGTAGTACCTGTTGACCACCTTCATCCAATTCCCCCTCCCCGCACCCCTTGCTTCTGGTAATCACAAATCTGATCTCTTTTTCTATGAATTGTTTGTATGCTTGTTTCTTTGTTTTTAGAGTATAATTGACCTAAAACACTATGTTAGTTCCTGTTACACAACATAGTGATTTTTCTTCTGTTCATTTCACAATGATCACCAGGATAAGTCTAGTTATGATGTGTCACCACAAAGATATTACTTAGTTATTGACTGTATTCCCCACACTGTAGCTTTCATACCTGTGACTCATTTATTTTGCAACTGGAAGTTTGTACCGCTTCATCGCCCTCACCTATTTCTTTCCTCCTCCCAGCCCCCTCTCCTCTGGTAACCGCCTGTTTGTTCTTTGCGTCTATAACTCTGTTTCTGTTTTGTTCTGTTTGTTCATTTGCTGTACTTTTTAGTTGCCACATTGAAGTGAAGCCATACAGTATCTGTCTTTCCCTGTCTGACTTCTTTCAAAAAAGTTTTAGACACTCCTGTGTAGAAGTCTTACAATCATTTATAAGATTTATTCCTCAAACTTTCTATTTTTGATGCTACTGTAAATGTTATTTTTTAAATTCATTTTCCATGCCTGAGATATAAAAATGTGGATAATTTTATGTATTGATATAGAATCCAGATTTCTTGCCAAAGCCTCTTAGTGTAATAATTTATTTATGGATTCCTTGTATTCTTATATATACAGTCATGTCATTTGTGAATAAATGACAATTGTATTTCTCCCTGCCCTGTTTTTACACCTTTTAACAATTTTAACTTGCCTAACTACACTGGCGGGCACCTCCAGTACAATGATGAATAGAGGGCGATAGAGATATTCTTGCCTGGTTCCTGATCTTACAGGGAATGTTTCGTGGTTTCACCATTAGGTATGATGCTCGCAGAGGACTTGGGAGATGGACCCACTGTGTCTCCCTCACAGTGTATTAGAAGGAGGAGCGAATGAGCTATTGTTCGGAAACAATTTAAGACAGAGTGGAACGCCCTGTGCTACCTGCTCTTCTAGTCTGTGGTGACAAATCCCCAGATGCCTTTTGCACCCCTCGGGGATATTAAAATGGTACCATACCATCTCGTCACAACAACCAGAGTCTCACGTCCCTCATTTCCCCTCTGACAGACAGCCGGGCAGCCAACTTCGCTGCATCGTGGAGATGATGACCTCAGCAGTGTGGGCTGCGCCTCACTCCCCAGGCTCTGCTTGACTCTTATCTCTAACAGTGTTTGATCCCAAGTTGTGATAACCTCAGCAGTGTGGGCTACGCCTCATTTCCCAGGCTCTGGTTGACTCTTATTTCTAACAGTGTTTGATCCCAAGTTGTTGGTCAGAGAAGAATCCAAGCCACACACCTGAGACCACTCATTACCCAGAAATAAGCCCCTCCTAGGTGTTAACACTTGTTCATGTTTTGCTCGATCACCTTCTTTAGAGGAATGGGGAGGGTATCTAGGACATAGATTAAAAGGTTTTTAAGCAGGAGGAATGGGAGAAAAATGTCTTAGCTTGTTCCAGATACTGACTATTGAAAAGCTTGTTTACTGTCTGAGCAATTATGCATGTTACTAAATGCCGCCTTGGAATATTGTAGAATTTTATCGAAACCGACAATGAGGGCAACGGCATTCTTCGACGACGGGATGTAAAGAACGCGCTGTACGGCTTTGATATTCCCCTCACACCCAGAGAATGTGAGAAGCTTTGGATGAGGTGAGTGATGTCTGAAGACTGGCTTTTCATTCCGGATGGCCAAATTCAGCACCGGCTTTCGTCACTCCTCAGGGGTCAGGTGGGACCAGGAATGGTTTTCCTGCGGTTGTATCTGTCCTGTTCCCCCGTAGAAAGAAGCCTTGGCCAACAGGCTGGCCTTCAGGAGCATGGGGAGCCAGGTAAACACTTGTCACCAGTATTAAATACTAGACTTGAGAGTTTTGCATTTCCAAGGAACCGGGAGTTCAACCACATCCTTTTACTGTTTCAGAGAACTAAGTCCCTCCCCAAAGACTTAACTCTAATACAAGTAGCTCAGCAGACAGATCTGCAATGGGTAAAGGGAAAAGCGGTCTCTCCCCATCGCCTAAAGATGGAAATCAATGTTGCACAACTGTTTTATAGATCAGTAATTTGCTGGAAGAAAATCACCAAAGTTTTGGTAACTTGGAGTGGTTTCCCAAGAGTGTCTTAAACTGAAAATTGTGCCTAATGCTGACTACATGTTTCAAAATGTGCTTTAGGTTTAGCTGTTTTTGAACCAGGCCCCCAGTTACAACATTCCCTGTGTAGATGTTTAAGTTTCAAGGTGCACTGACAATGCGGTCCATTTCCAAGTTCCAGCTCTGTCTTTGAATTACTTCCTTCTTCATTATATGTTAGCTGCCACTTGCATCCCCGCAGGATCGTACCCCAATATTGCATGTCCTCTCAGAGGCAAGCCCATGGAGCAGTCCATGTAGTATTTCAGCTTTTCATCTGTTCAAAGGGGAAAGCTGCAATGTTGGCCGAGTTTAGAATTAGGCTGTTTTGTGTCTAATTTAGAAAAGCAACTTGAAGTTCTTACAAAATCCTTGGTTTCTTTTTTGTTTTGTTTTGTTTCGTTTTAGGTCAGTTCCAACTCAGGGACAATTTGGTCTCCCTACCCATTTTCTCTTTTGAGGGACTAGATGAGTGGGTCCATCTGAGTAATCAGAAGATGGGGTACAGCAGCCAAATGCATGGAGCTCTCACCATGTAGACCTGTGGATGATGTGGAGGTGACTGTGTGGTCCTGATGCTCGGGGAGCTGTCAGGGGGCAGGAAGCATTCACCCCAATACCAGGGTGCAGAGTCGCCTGTTATAAATGCCAGAGGAGGGACATGTCGAGCAGAAAGGGAGACAAAAGTAGGGGTGCTGGGGGCCGTGGAAGAGCAGGAGGCTGTCATGGTGGGAGAGAAGCTGAAATTGTTCCAAAGGTCCAGATGGGGAAGGAGGGCTGCCTGACCCACGGGCCAGGAGGACGGGGGAGGCATTCTCCAAGCAGTGCCTGGGCTCCAGGCTGAGGAAGGAAAGACGAGGCTGATCACCTGGCCGCAGTCCTCCCTTTCTGGCAGAGTATTAACGAGTCATTCGGAAACAACGAAATGTGATGTGGGTCAAGCCATGCTTTAGGAAGACTAGTCAGGAAGCCGTTCAGAAAAGGGGTTGGTGGGGTGTGGGCCTCGGGAGACTGTGGTCTCCATCAGGGAGGGATGGGGCGAGCTGCAAGAATGAGGGGTGTGGGAGTCAGGTGTCCCCGTGAGGAAGGAGAGCACGCTTAGCCCTCTTCCCGATGGGGGACAGAGCAAGGTTCCATGTTCATGGGAGGGAGACACTCACTGTTGCTTTTGGCTAAAGTTTCTTTATACACGTATTAACATGATTAAATACACAAATATCTACCCTGTGCTGAAAACTGTTTGAGATGAGAATTTCATCTACTTTTGTTTAGCCGGCTGTTTGCCATGGATGGTGAGTGGTTGAGAGCTCTGCAGCCAGATATGCCTCCACCCCTCATAGCTGTGTGGCCCCTGTCAAGTTACTTAACTTCTCTGTGCCTCACTCTGCCCTGCTGAGTTAGCTCAAGTGGTGTATGGATCAGGGTAGGCTGGCTGCGGTAACAAACAAGGCCAGCATCCCAGGGGCTTGCCCCATAATGATGTCAAAATGTAGTGTGGGTGTTGGGGAGCTGTGTTCACAGTCATTCAGGGACCAGGAGTCCCACCACCCCTGGATCTTATGTGTCTGCCAGCAGAGAAGGGAACAGAGCACAGAGGACCCTCTGGCCAGCTTTGTAAGGACCAGGCCTGGGAACATGGCCGTCACTTTGCCCAAATTCTTTTGGCCAGAATCCCTCGATGGCTGCACCCCTGCACGGGAGGCTGGGGAGACCAGCAGTCTGCAAGGGGATTGCGCTGCTACTCAGAGGCCGGGAGGCTGCTGCGCCCCGGGCTGGAAGAGCAAGCGGGGGAGGTTACACAGAGATAAGGGAGCTGCTCCCCACCAGCGACTGCAGGGCAAAGGGGAGGCGGTATTATTTGGAGACCAGGAAATTGCCTCCACTCCTGATGCTGTCTCGGAATTTGCGGGAACCTCGACTGCTGTGCTGAGCCGGAGCTATGGGGCCATGACAGCAGGTCCCCTGGGAACAGCCTGGCCCTGCCCTCTTCCCACCTCCAAGGGCACAGCTCCCTGGGCGCAGCCGGGGGGCAGCTGGGAAGATGTGCAAAGGGCAAGCGCGGGGTCGAGAGCCACCAGATGAACGTCCAGCTAAAGGGCAAAGGGTGTGTCACATTCCAGGGCTGCGGGGTCACCTGGGTGGCCAGGCAGAAGGGCAGGCTGCACATCAGCTGAACCACATCATGAAGGGCAGGGCGAGGTGGGGACCCCATCCTGAAGGCCAACTGTTTAGTGGGGAAAGAGGGAGGCAGGTCCACGTTCCAGAAAGATCACTCTGGCCACGGGGAGGAGGATGAATTGCCAGAGACGGGGAGGGAGGCACAGAGGTGAATTCAGGGCTGTCTTCCCTGGGTGGTGCCTGGAGGACTGGGACGGAAGTGACAGGTGTGAGAGAGATTCAGGAAGTGAACCCGCAGCTGAGGGGCTATGCTCTGAGGGGGCCTGCACCCTGACCCATGGCGCCCAGACTGAGCTGTGTGACCTTGGGCCAGTGGCTCACCTTCTCTGAGCTTCAGTAATCTCTCCAGTGGGATGGCAATGGGGACCAAATGATATAAAGAGGGTACCTGGCGTAGATAAGCATAAAAATTAGTAGCAAAAAGATCATATGGATTTGAAATTATTTTCTGATTACAATATTAATGCACACTCATTTTAGAAGACTCAGAAAATCCAGAGAAGCATAAAGGAAAAGAAAAGACAACAGCAAGAAAGCAGCCGTACCCCACTCAGCAGAGAGGATAGACTTGGTGGTGTGGTTTTTTTCATCCATTTTCTAGGCGTTTCCATGATCTCGGTTAGCCGTCCTCACCCTCATTCCACCTCCTGGCCTGCTCCTCTCAATGGCTCAGCGTTTGCTGACCCTGACTCACCCTGGTCCACTCCCTCCAAGTCCCCGCCTGCCTTACGAAGCAGGAGGGCTAGGCGGCAAGGTGGTGGCCCGCGCCAGGCTGCGCAGGCACCAGGAGCCTCCTGCAGTCGCCCGTACAGGGGGAGAGGCATTCTCCCACCCGGCGGGAGTGACAGGGACCCCGGGCAAGGCAGGGAGCAGCTGGGGCCAACGTGACACTCTGCCAGCTCCCGGGGTCTGCTAGTGAGACGAGGAAAGCCCCCACCAAAACTGGGTAGCTGGAAGTGAGTAGGAAAATAACGTTCAGCTCTTTCGAAAACACAGAATTAGAAAATAGGGAGAATATAGACAAGAAATTGTCGGCATCCATTGTTCACTCGACATTTACGAAGCACCTGTGAAGCGCACGCTTTCAGAGCTCCGGGTTAGCCTGGCAGGTCTCGTTTACGCTGGAAGTAAATTAGTGCATTAACTCCCACATCTCAGTGACCTGGCACATGCGTGCTTAGTTCTTATTCACACGAAGTCTAGCATGTCTAGCGGCTCTTCTGGACGGTTCTCTTCCAAGTGGTGACTCGGGATCTGGCTTCCAGTTGTGGCCTCATCCCTCAGCAGGGTCCCCCGGGACCTGCAGAGCACAGGACCGCACACGGGCTTCGGTGGGCTTCGGCCCAGAAGGACACACTTCTGCCCACAGCCCGTGGCCCAGGGCCGGGCCGTGGCCCCAGCTAACTGCACAGGGGCGGACAGAGTGGGGAGCACGTGCACGTTAAGCGAGCCTGGCTCACTGAGGGTTAAAGGTACACGACCGTCAAGCCTGAAGGAGGCCGCTGTGAAAGGAAACCTGGTAACTGAAGCCAGGCAGGACCTTTTAGCACGAGATTCCAGGAGCAATGCGTCTGGTTTTGGAGAGACTGCAGAGAATAAATTACAAGATGAAAGTGCATCCATCCATCCATTCATTCATCGGAGCAATCACTGAGCAGGATTTTCTTGAAACTTTCTAAGTTGCAAGCCCTGTGCTGTATTCTGGGGTTCCAGAGATGAAGGAAGCCTCCACCCTCAGGTTGCTCACGACTCGGCCAGGAAGGCAGCAGCTGCGTGCCAGGAGGGAGAGGCTGGGCAGCCCGGGCTGTGGGTGTTCAGAGAGAGACCCCCAGGAGGTGCGATGCCTGAGTTGAGTCTTAAGAAACAGTCATTAGCCAGAGGTGGGGAAAGGGGGTCCTAGTGAGCAGAGAGGCCCAGAGCCGGGGGAGTGGGAGGTCCCTGGGATGGAAGAGGAAGGATGCCGCTTCCATCAGAAGAGCCTGAGACCCAGAGCCTGCCGGGCACAGGGCACCCCAGGACCAGGGCACAGAGCCCTGGGGGACACGCCCTTCGGGGGCGCTCAGTGTCCTGAGCCCCTTCTGTAGCCTCGTTGCATTGGGTAGAACTCCGCTATTTTAGATCTAAAACCAACTTTGCTGAAAAACTATGAAGCCAGTGTATTATAAAAATGCACAGACGACTCAGGTAGGACAGCAGCAGCCTGGGAAACTTGCGTATAGATGCCGGTCGTGTGCAATCACGCAGACCTGGCAGAATGTTTGGGAGATAATTAATGCCCAATTTATGCACATTTCTTGTTTGGGTAGGTAAGTTGTATGTTAGTATTCCAATATAAAAGGCAAAGACTATTAAAAAGTCCCTGTGTCATGTGCATCGGCCCACGGGAAGACATATGACTGTCGGTTAACGTGAAGCTGGGTCATCTCTGTTGCCTCAACCAACGCAGTGTCTAGAGAGAACCTACCCTGTGCCTTGCTGGTGGAACACCTGGACCAGGAGAGCCTCTGGGTGGGAAAGGATTTGAAAAGGTTGAAGGAACAGTTCAGAAAAGAGAGGATCGAATGGGACGTGATGGTCGGGGATGAGTTAGAAGAGCTGCACGTGGAGGGACTAGATGGACAGGCCCTTAGCTCCGCATAAAGGACGCCTTCGTGACTAACGTCGTCTAGAACTCCACTGGGCAGTCCCTGAAGGAGCGGGTTTCCCATCTCTGGCGTGGCTTCATCCAAGGCCAGACCGCCGCTTATTGGGGAGCGTAAGGGCGGGATTGTGGCCCTGGATGGGGATGGAGCCCATGGTGTCTCATCTGTGGCTCCACCAGGACTGGCTGAATGTGCCATTGGGCACTGCCCCCTTGGGCAGCTGGACGTTGTGTGCTCTGAAGGGCAGCTCTCTGAGCCATCGGACCACCCTCACAGATGGCCCCCGAGAGAATCCCTCAGGCCAAGCTGCGTAAGGGCCACGTCTCCCTCTGCTGCAGGCCTGGGTCGTCAGTAGCGCTTGCACCAGACCCTCTAAATCTGGGGTCAATGGTGCTGGAAGATTCTTCTGTCATTTATGTAAGAATCGAGTGCTAAACTGAGCATGAAAGGGTAAGACTTTCACAGCACAGCAATCGATGTGAACATATTCAGATCATGTGTACAACCAAATTGCTGTGTGTACAATAGATGGGCAGAGTAATCTGATGATGTCATAAATTAGCGGCCATTGCCGTATGCAGATGCGAGCTTTTATGGGTCCTCTGTTTATGCGCACATTTTTCTTGGCACGTCTGTTGCCGAACCCTTTTTTTTTTTTTTTTTTTGCGGTACGCGGGCCTCTCACTGTTGTGGCCTCTCCCGTTGCGGAGCACAGGCTCCGGACTCGCAGGCTCAGCGGCCATGGCTCACGGGCCCAGCCGCTCCGCGGCATGTGGGATATTCCCGGACCGGGGCACGAACCGGTGTCCCCTGCATCGGCAGGCGGACTCTCAACTACTGCGCCACCAGGGAAGCCCTTGCCGAACCCTTTTAAAATTCAGCCTTTACAGGCAAGTTGATTTTTTTTTAATGTGACACAAAGGATTATATGATGAAGGGTGAGGTTATGTAAGCTGAATTAACTCTCTTATTATTCACATTCATAACAATATTTTAGTTGCAGTTGTGCAATCTGGTCTTCTGTTCCTTGGAGATGTGAATCGAATGTTTATGATCTTTGTTAATGAAGTAATTAAGAAGTGTCTTTCCATTCAGTTCAAGTGTCACGACTGAGAATTTGTTGTTGGGAATCTCGTGAGCGTTGCCCGCGGGGATGGCAGGCCTTCCTTACGGACACGTGCCCTTCACGTTCATTGCTCAGCAGCCAGGTATCGATAAGGAAGTTTTGCGAGGCATGTTGCTGGGAACTGTGGGTTCGCCCATCAGGATAAACGAGGCATGGTCTCTTCTCGAGAAACCCACCGTCAAGCAGGGACGGAAGACCTGGACTGAAGCGGGGGAAGCAGAGGTGGGATGTGGTTGAGCCTTTGGGTGGCGAATGGCAGCGGCAAACACCAGGCCCTGGTCCCAGCCTCCACCCGCGCTCACCCCGCTCCCCGGTCCTCACCACAGGCTACAGGGATCCAGGGGAGGCAGAGACACAGTGCTTTTGCCTCAGGACGAGAGAGAGGTCCCAGAAGAGGCGCCCTGCTGTCCAGGCCTTGCTTGTCAGGCGGGTGGTCTGTGCACGTTCGCTCAGGAGCCCCCTGTAGGGGTGGGGAGCCCCCTTGGGGAGCTTTCTTCTAGGGGTGTCTTTATAGAGTTGCATCACAGCAGCACTCTGGTGGCATCAGGCTGGTCACAGGCCTGATGCAGCTCAGGGAAAGACCCACGGCCCTGGGATCGCCCTAGGAGCTCAAGAAATGGCAACCCTCCCCTTCCCAGGTGCACTGATGGAGAACTAGACTCTCCTTCCTGCAGCTGTCCCGTCACCAGCAGTAGGAGAAGCCACTTGCTAGAGGCACTGGCCCTTTGTGCTGCCTGGCACATAAAGCCACTACAAGCCTCGGGCTTCCTCTGGTGGGTGGGTCGCTTTGTTTTGTTTTAGAAGGAAAATTCACTGAATAAAGGTAGAATGGTACTTTTGGGGGTTGCAGGCACTAAGGTCGTACTAATAACAGACGCCTGGAAAGGTCTGGGAGGGCTTCCCAAACCCTTAGTAACAACGACGCCACTGGGGGCATGATTCCAGCCAGCAGGTCTCAGAGTGCCCTCCCCCTCCCTGCTGCAGGCCAGGCGAGGAAACCGAGCCCGGGGGGGGGGGCGGGACCTGGCCGGCGACTCGAGGCCGGTGAGCTGGCGGCTCAGACATCGCTGCCCTCCCTGCCCCTCCGTCGCAGGAGGGGACTCTCCTCACCTTCTAGAACGGAGTCCCTGATGAAAGCAGGCCTGGATGCTGGGAGGCAGGCGGAGGTGAGACGCGAGGCCCAGGGGGGCCGCAGGGGGAGGGGTGGGCAGGGGGGCCTCGGGAACTTCTCACCCCTCGTCCTCCACCCAGCACCCCAGCCCTTGAGGACAGGAAAGTCGGGTAAATAAATCCTTTCTCCTCATCGTTACTCAGTTGGGAGGGTCGCAGGGGACCCAGTGCTGGGGCGGCGGCCAGCGTGTGGTCCTGCAGCATCTGGCTGGCGGCGGAGAGCAGAGGGGGCCCTGCTTCACACAGGAGAGCCCAGGGCGCCTGGCTCCGTCCCACAGGCACCGACAGCAGCCGGATGCAGCGTGAAGCCCCAGACATTGTGCAAATACCGCCTCAGCCCTCGGAACGCTGAGTTCATCTGGGAAAAGCACCGCCGGAAATGCCATTTTTATCGGTTAGAGGAGGACCGAGATCTTTCCGTGAAAATAAATGCTTCTTTTCTTTAAAGAAAATTGGCAATTTGCCTTAAAAATTTTTATTGAAGTAATTCTATTCTATTTGAATGATGTTGGGAGATAAAAACCCTCCATTATGCCTTTTTTAAAATGAATTACAATTTAGAAAAATCCCAATAATAGAAAATGACATAAAAGGTACATAATTCTTATCTTGTTTTCCTTACTAGTCTCTCTCATTGGTTGCGTGTAATTGGCATCTCTTCAAAGAGGAAATGGGGAATTGGAATCAAGTGGCATTCATTTATTTGAGTTTTAAGATTGAATATGCTTTTTTTTTTTTTTTTTTTTTTTTGCGGTATGCGGGCCTGTCACCGCCATGGCCTCTCCCGTTGCGGAGCACAGGCTCCGGACGCGCAGGCTTAGCGGCCATGGCTCACGGGCCCAGCCGCTCCGCGGCACGTGGGATCTTCCTGGACCGGGGCACGAACCCGCGTCCCCTGCATCGGCAGGTGGACTCCCAACCACTGCACCACGAGGGAAGCCCCTGAATATGCTTTTTGACGGATTTTCTTCTGAACCTTAGCATAGTTCCTCTTACATGTAGGTGCTCAATAAAAGACCGTTGAATTAAGGAAGGGTTGGTTTTCATTTTCCGTGGTCACAGTCGGATTTCTAACAGAATGACAGAGGATGAATCCGGTTGCTCTCTTGGGGTGGTCCAAGATCACCTTGTGTGAGGTGACCTTCCTGTTGATTGATGAGCCTGTGGATCGCCTGAGGGTCTTGTTACGAGCAGGTCCAGCTCAGGTCTGGGGTGAGGCTCAGGATCCTGCGTTCCTGACCCCCGGGGAGGCCGGTGCTGCAGGCCTGCAGAGCACACGGGGTGTGAGGAGCCAGGCAGACGGAGTGCAGACGGTGTTAAAGCCCTGAGCACCTCGCACTGGTGAAAGTTTTGTTTGTTTGTCTTTAAAGGTACGACACCGAGGGAAGAGGGCACATTACTCACCAGGAAGTTTTACAGAAATTGGGGGTTAACTATTCAGCGGCTATTCATCAGCCCTACGCGGAGGATTATTTCAACTTCATGGGTCATTTCACGAAGCCACAGCAGGTGCAAGAAGAGATGAAGGAGCAGAGCACGGAGAGGGCCGTGCCGGCCAGGTGAGTCTGTGAGCACACGGCCCGGGGGCCGGCGTCTGTTCCTCATTGACCCCTGCAGCACTGTTTGTTCTGAAGTGGTACCTCCCAGTGCTGGCAAAGCTGCCGTGAAATTGTAATCCTCGTTCACTGCTGTAGATTCTAGAAATCGGCGCTAAGTCACAAAGCTACAAAGGAGTTAAAGAGCTATAAGCCTACGCCACCCTACCCAGTCACACTCTCAGGTCACCCTTGAGAACTGAACCTTTGAGGTGTTTACTAACCTAAGCCCCTGGCCCCTCCTCTGGACAAGTAGAATGCAGGTTCCACGAGGACATGCCTGTCTCTACCCGGTTCAGAACAGTGCTTGACGCCTAGTAGGCACCCAGTGAGTATTTGTCCAGCGAATGAATGAAGGAACAGACACATTCTTTAACTCAGCAGTTCAACTTTGGGGACTTTATCCCAAAGAAATAATGTGGAAGAGGCCAGCAGTTTAGCAGGTGGAAGGTATGACTTGCAGTGTGTTTTCAACAGCAGCAACAAAAGGACACCTGTCGGCTTCCCTGGTGGCGCAGTGGTTGAGGGTCCGCCTGCCAAGGCAGGGGACACGGGTTCGTACCCCGGTCCTGGAGGATCCCGCATGCCGCGAAGCGACTGGGCCCGTGGGCCGTGGCCGCTGGGCCTGCGCGTCAGGAGACTGTGCTCTGCGGTGGGAGGGGCCACAGCAGTGAGAGGCCCGTGTACCGCAAAAAAAAAAAAAAAAAATCAATCCCAGATGAGGGCCTGGCTTACAGAGCGTGGCCCCAAGGAACATGAGGTGGTGTATGCCAGTTTCCACCATCGCTCGGACACTGTGGGAATGTCTGTGACAGAAGGCTAATTGGCAATGAAGTTTTAAACAGTCTGTATAGGGACTTCCCTGCCGGTCCAGTGGTTAGGACTCCACGCTTCCACTGCAGGGGGCTTGGATTCGATCCCTGGTTGGGGAACTAAGATCCCGAGTGTCCCGTGGTGTAGCCAAAATAAATAAATAAACAGTCTGTGTACCATGATTGGAGCTACACCAAATGCACGTGCCTGTCCACAAGATGCTGCACAGAAGGTGTCGTGTTGTATTTGGATGGTGGGGCTGCGCGTGATTCCTTTCAAAGTTTAAAAGTAGTCACTAATGAAACTAGTCACTAATGCCATATTTTAAAATTCTAAAACAATGGATAAAGAAAATGTGGTACATACATATACAACAGAATATTATTCGGCCATAAAAAAGAATGAAATATTGCCATTTGTGATAACACAGCTGGACCTTGAGGGCATCATGCCAAGTGAAATAAGTCAGACAAAGAAAGACAAAAACCATATGCTCTCACTTCTATGTGGAATCTTTAAAAAAAAACAAAAACCCAAGCTCATAGATACAGAAAACAGATTGGCAGTTGCCAGAGGTGAGGGTAACGTGGGATGCCAAAGTGGGTGAAGTGGGTCAAAAAGCACAACTTCGTTATGATAGAAATAGGTCCTGGGGGTGTGATGCACAGCAAGGTGACTATCGTTAGGAATACTGTACTGCGTATTTGAAAGGCGCTAAGAAGGTAAACCTTAAAAGTTCTCATCCTACGGATGGTGATGGACGGTAACTATACATCCCACAGTGTATACAGATACCAAATCATTATGTTGTATACCTGAAACTAATATGTTATATGTCAATTATGCCTCAAAAAAGAAAGGAACATAGGAGAAAATGTTGCCGCATTTGATGTGACCCTAAAGGGATGGGACAGACTTTCTCAATCAGTCTCGGTCCTGGGTGGCCGCCCACCAGCACTCCCCAGGCCTGGGACCCTGCTCCCTGCTCCAGAGGCTTACCTCCCTGGCACTCTCATCTGTGTGTCTGTCCATCTCCTGTCTGTCACTTCACCTCTCTGTCCCCATCATCTCTGAATGAGGGAATGAGCTGTTACTAACGAATCCCCAGAGGAAAGAAGCACTCCAAGGACACAGGGACGAAATGCAATGGCTGAATGGGGTTTCAGAGAAGGGCAGTTTGAACACACCCCTGAATTATGTCTAAGTTACTGAATTATAAAGCCTGAAGGCAGAGAATGGAGTTGGTGAAATTTCAAGTAAAAATATGCGCAAGATTGGTATAAATATCAAATATGCCATAAAAGTAACGAAAACGTGGAATTTATCTTTCCCAGACAGGGCTGGCCTCGTAACCCACACGTGTCTCCCCTTCCCTCTCTCCTGCCACTTGTGAGTAACGAGGCTCTGGGAGGGATCTCACATCCTCAGCATCGTCTGCATGGTCTTTCTCTTCTTGTTTCTGTTTATTGTGCAATCGTGGATCTGTAGCTGGGAGAACTACGTGCCACTGGACGAAGCGTTTCAGATCATCAAGCTCCGAAAACTGATTCACACTCACCCGGTCCCCTCCCACCATCACACTCTCTTACCAAAGAAATCAAGCCCAATGCGTAAAAATTCATGACCGGCTTCTGTTTCCTCAAAGATGTCAGATTGCGAAATTGTCAAGTCACTTTGCCCTTCAGGATGGCCCACTTTTCAATTTTGGTGTCAGTGGGTCTTCCAGCTAACCCATCAGATGCAGTGTTTCCAGGACTTTTAACCTCCTCATTTATACTGAAGCTTTGATAAGATTAAGAAACAGGAGTCGTGTTCATTCAAGTGACTGAAATTTTATGTTTGCCTCTTAAATCTAAGAGGTTTAATTTTGTTTGAAATGGCCTGAATACATTTTAAAAATTCAAAAGAATCCTTTTCTAAACCCCTATTTATTTTCCAGAGTCAGACCAGCAATAGTGAACTAGCCACGGAAGCTCAGCCGGCTGTTCTCAAATGCAAATTGCGAGACACAGGAGCGAACCCAGCCGGGCTGCACAGGGTTCTCTCCAGCGTGCCGGCCGGGCTGTGTGTGAGGGGCTCTGCGGCCATCCACCGGCCGTGCCATTGCCCTCTTCGGGCTTCCGTCTCGTTGTCCAGACCAGGGACCAGACACTGTGTGGGCTGACGCGGGTTCTGCCTGGCAGCGTGGCGTGATCAGAGCTCCGAATCCTCACTTATTCTGAGCACATATTTACCCTGCGAGGGAAATAATTACTGCCTGGAAACCAGTCCAAGAAATACTGAACGCCTCAATTTTCTAAAAATATGTATCTCAAAAAAAGTTTTGATTTTTTTTATACCTTCATTTACTTTCATTTTGAAGGATTAAGTGGAATATAATAGTTGTGATCACGAGTAATCATGTTGTAGGATGGGACGGAATTCAAAGTACACCTGTGAGGGAATCCAGGGTGTTGCTGCCCTTGGGATACATTCCCCGGACAGTTACTGCAGCTCATTTGTATCAGCTTCTCGAAGACTCACACCAGCCAGCTCGGACCCGGAGGCCAGCAGGGGAGGGAGACGGTGACCCACGTAGCTTCAGGGTCCAAGCCTCCCTCTCCCCCCAAGTATTCCCTCCGCTTCCCCTCTTCTGATTTCTGACTTCTCTGTTGCCATGGATGATTTCTTCCAGGCACTCAAGGAACAGTTTTTGGACATGTATCCACAAATACACATCGGAGGTGGTAGACGATTACCAGCAAAGAGTTCGTGTTTGGAGTTTTTGGCATATCCTTTTCCCTGAGTAGGAACCTCACAGCCGAGCTCAAGTCAGACGGACACAGTGCTCAGTGTGGTAGGACGAGCTTCCTGGGGCCTGGATGAGCGAGTTCATGGAATATAACCCACCCCCTGTAGGTCAGGTGTAAGACTGTTTATTCCTAAAAATGTCCACACTTTTTTATTCCCTTATCAATAATTTTTTTTAAGTCTGAGAAGAATTTTCCTGAAAGACTGAATCAGAAACTTGAACACATTCCTAAGAAAATCAGCCCTCGAACACGATCAGGAGTTACAGTCGGTCGCTGTCTCTGTCCCAGCAGGGGAGAGCTGGCTGAGCCCGGACGCTGCACAGGCCAGCACTGTCTTCTTCCTATAAGACGGGGATGATAATTACCCTCCTCCCTTGTAGGGCTGTTGAGAAAAATAAATGGGAGAAGGTACATGAAGACAGCACAGCTTCTGGTTTCCCAACTCAGACACGCAAATTATGGGCTGTGCTTCTTAAGAACAAAGGACCTGGACCCCCGCCCCCGTCAGCACTCACTGACTAGACTCTCTGCCCTCCTTGGCTCCTGCTCCTGCATTCCTGCCTCAGGGCCTTGGCGCTGGCTGTCCCTGGGCCCAGAGAGGTCTTCCAGGGGTAGATCCCCACTGGGTCCTTGGCCTCCCTGCCATCTCTGCTCAAGTGTCACCTTCCCCAGTGAGGTCCCCCTGCACCGCCTACTGGGAATTGCAGCGCCCCCTACCATGGGCATTCTCAGCCCCGCTTGTGGGTGCTCAGCTAACCCCTGACCCACTGTGCAGGGCACTGTTGTCCCCTGTTTATCGTTGACCTTGCCCCAGGGAGAATGTAGATTCTTCTAGGGAGGCCTCTCTCATTTGCTAGGTGTATCCTGACACCTAGAGCAGTACCTGGCACGTGATAGGTGCTCAGCGAGTCTGCAGCAAGAGGATGGAGGTGTATTTCCCGTGTCTGTAATATCACTGTATTTTTAAATGTTTGGCTCCATTTTTAAAGTACCCATTCTAGTAAAAAGACAAGGTTGTAATTTCTCTAACATAGTTTTGCTAATGATAATAATAATAAAATGGTAATGATAAAAATGCTTATTATTTTTTTCCAGATTACCTTTCAATGTAAATGTTACATCAAGGCTGCAAAGCATCTTCAAAATTCGTTGTCAGATGAAGCATCAGCTCATCACATTAGAATGATCATGGAACTCTTGCTTTAAAGAAATGATTTGTTTTCCCGGTTTTAGTGTGTGTCTCAAATGCATTCTCTTTCAGGGATAAGCTTAAGGACCACTATCAAGATATCAGCAAAGGGGCTTCTCTGGTGGCGCAGTGGTTGGGAGTCCGCCTGCTGATGCAGGGGACGCGGGTTCGTGCCCTGGTCTGGGAGGATCCCACATGCCGCGGAGCGGCTGGGCCTGTGAGCCATGGCCGCTGGGCCTGCGCGTCCGGAGCCTGTGCTCCACGGCGGGAGAGGCCACGGCAGTAAGAGACCCGCGTACCGCAAAAAAAAAAAAAAGATATCAGCAAAGCACTCACCAAACTAGATAAATCCAAAAATGGCTACATATCCTTATGCAAGATGCAGAAGTTGCTGCAGGAGTGCGGCTGTTTTCTGAAGGCAGAGGAGCTGGCCGACCTTCTCACCAGGTTTTCTATGATGAGGCAATACGTTTCTTACAGCACTGAAAATCAGGGTGTCGCACTGCTTTCATGAATTTCTTCTTTTCCCGTCCACTCAAACAGCCTTTTGGCATTGAAATAACCTCCACGCCACCAAAAACTCAGTCTCTATCTGTGTACAGAAGTAGAACTGTAATGTTGTACTCATAAAACTTATATAGTACTATAAACCAATGTGACCTCCATTTAAAAAAAAAAAAAAAGAATGAATCTTCAAATACTCCTCTGGCTGGGCTACGTTCTAATGGGTTTGAGTCAACTCAAAGCAAAAAGAAAGCGACTTGACAAATCCATAACTTTTCCTGGTGCGTCTCAGCAGCATTAACATCCTTTTTTAACATTATTTTCACTTCACCCACGTTATTCATGCACTTGGGCAGGAGTCAAGTCGTCCTGCAAGGCTTATTAAAAACAGCAGCCCCCTGCCCTGCCATCTTCCCCAGCTCCTGCCCAGAGTCAACAACTTCCAATGCTTTAATTCGTATCTTTTGGTACTTAGCTCAGTACTTCTAAGTGACAAACACACAGCTACTTGTTGATTCTTCACTTCTAGGCAGTGTCTGTCAACTTCCTACCAGGAGGATGCAGATTGAACGCTTTTTCACCCATCACATAACCACCAACCACCTCACCCCTCAGCCTCCACCACCCCGTGGAGACACACGCAAACGTACCCCGTTGTCCCCCCATGTTGCTGTGTTGCAGTTTGGTGTAGTTCAGTGTTCAGGCTTTCTATTACTGTGACTAGCTGATCACTTTTCTTTTCCCGTAGAACATGCTGTTTGCCCTGGATTTAATAATAATTTTTTCTGTTTGCTCAGTTTCCTTGTAGTTCTTATCACTAATTAAACCCCCAACTCACCCCAGCTTGTGAAGTCTCTTTCCAGTATGTTCAGACACCTCAGCTGATCTGTCAGCTTCGTCTTCTTGGACGTCCCTTTTCATGTTCTTCAACTCTCAGAAATTTTCTTGATTTACTTCATTAAAGAGTTCCTCTCCTGTTTGTTTCTCTCTGAGCCTCCTGTTGTTACTGATTAGTGAGCCACCCAGAGTGTCTCCTTATATTTTAAACCTTCCCCGTCCTCCATCTCTGTTTCTTCTTGCTCCACCTTCTGGGAGACCTCCTCAGTTTTAGTTCGCAACCCTTCTTTTGAGATTTTTGTCTCTGCTAATCATACTTATCATCTTTTAAATTGCCAGAACTTGTTTTTATTCTCAGAATATTCCTTTTCTATAGCGTCCTGTTCTTGTTTCATGGATATACTAGTTCATGTCTCTGGAGATATTAAGAATAGATTTTTTTAAAGTTTTCTTCACTTGAGAAGTCTCTCCTCAGTGTTGCTTTTTTCTGCTCTCTTCCATGTTAGACATTTTCCTCAAAAATATGCTCCTATTAAGAATGAGATACTAAGAGATAGATTAAAAGTTCTGCGCAGATGGGGAGAGCTAGTCAACTTCAGTTTGAACCGCTTTGGCAGGGTAATCTGGCAGGTGGTTTCCTTGGAAGACGCCCAATGTCAGAACCTTTAAAACTTTTCTTTTGGGCTGGTCAGATTTCCCAGGGATTAGGGTTGCCGGATAAGACATAGAGTGCCCATTTAAATTTGAATTCCAGATAAACAATATTTTTTCTAGTGTAAGTGTGTGCCATGTGATATTTGGTACATATTTATACTAAAAATTATTTTTGTTTATCTGAAATTCTAATTTAATTGAGTATCCTTCTAGGCTTCTGTTTGTTTCTTTGTTTTTCTAAACCTGGCAACCCAACCAGAGAAGACTTGCTGGTCTCCTGCTGCCAGCACTCTGGGAGCTGACTGGGAACAGAAGGCTGGAAGTTTCAACAGTCAGCATGATAAACCGAATAATGCCCCCAAAGATATTTAAGTCCTAATTCCTGGAACCTGTGAATGTCACCTTATATGGAAAGGGACTTTATGGATGTGATTAAGTTAAGGAACTTGAGAAGGGGAGGTGATCCTGGGTTATATGGGTGGGCCCAGTGTGATCACAAGTGTCCTTATAAGAGGGAATCAGGGAGAGATTTCACCCAGAAGTGACCACAGAGGGAGAAATTGGAGCGATGTGGCCACAAGCCAAGGATCGCCAGCGGCCACCGGAAGCTGGAAGAGGCAAAGAACAGATTATCCCCTAGAGCCTCTCGGGGGAGCACAGCCCAGCTGACACCGTGATTTCTGCCCAGGGACGCTGATTTCCAACTTCTGGTGTCCAGAACAGTAAGAGAATAGATGTGTGCTGTTCAGAGTCACCCACTTTGTGGCATCATGTTATAGAGTCACAGGAAACTAAGAGTCAGTATAAAAGCTTTCACTTAACTCCCCTCTTTTCATTAAGAACCCTCCCTGTTTTGAACTGTGACAAACACTTACCATCTGCAGAGAACACCCCTCCAGATCCTCCACTGTGTGTGGTGGGCGGGTGGGGGCCAGGCACCCAGCCTGGGGAGTCTGAGGAGGGGCACGGGGTCGAATTGCGTCCCACACAGGCTTTTAGCCAATCCTTCTCTTTTAACCTCACTTTCATTCCTACGTCTAGGTGTACCTGGAGCCCACTTCTGGAGGCTCTGAGGGTTTGCAGGGTGTATCGGATACCCGTCCGTGTTCCTTCTGTTGGTTCCAGGAGATTTCTTGAATCTGACGCGTCTGTTCTCCCTCATCCATCAAATTCCCAGCAGCTGTTGTCTTCTTCCACTTTCTCTCCATCCTTCGTGTTTTCTGCTGGTGTTCTGCAAACTCCAGCCAGCGTCAGAAACTCGGCTTGCTGGGCCCCTCCCTCGGGCTCTCTGACTTAGCAGCCCTGGGAATCTGCATTTCCAACGAGGCCCTGGGTGATGCTGATGCTGCTGGACTAGAGCATCCCAAGAACCACTGTCTGACACCTTTTAAAAACGCCTTCTTCTGTCACTTTAGAAGGAACGGAGCTAGTTATGTGCGTTCAAGCCACTTTAACTGCAAGTCCTATCCTCTTATAATTTTAAACCCAAATAACTCAGAGTTGATTGGTCCTCCTCGGACTGCTTTTGTATGCAGTTTCTGACTTGCGGTGTCCCTTAGCTGTGCTGGCCGGAAGTTCTATGACTAAGTGCATGGGTCTTATGTTCCTCTCTTTGTGAGGTGAGGATACTAGCACCCCTCCCCTCCCTTTAAAAAATGTTAGCGGTTGCTCTAGGGTTTGCAGTGCACATGAACAACTAGCCTAAGTCCACTGTCAAATAACACATTACTACTACTTCACGGGAGGTGCAGGCGCCTTATTACAAACTAAGTGTTCCTGAATCCTCTCTCCTGTCCCCTGTAACATTGCTCTTACTCATGTCACTTTTCCATTTGCTGTAGTCACCCAATACATTGTTGTTACTTTGAACAATGATCTATTAGATCAACTAAGAAGAAGAAGAATAAAAGAGATTATTTTACCTTCATTTATTCCTTCTCTTATGCTCTTTCTTCCTTTAGGTAGGTCCACGTTTCTGACCCGTCTGATTTTCCTTCTCTCAGAAGAATGTGTTCTAGCATGTTTTGAAGGGCAGGGTGGCTGTGGTGATGAATTCCCTCGGTGATTGTTTGTCGGAGAAGGTATTTATTTCTCCTTCACTTTTGAAGGATAATTTCACTGGTTATAGAATTCTAGGTTGGTGATTTTTTCCTTTCCACACTCTAAATATTTCAGTCCACTCTCTTCTTGCTTGCATGATTTCTGATGAGAAGCCCCATGGAATTCTTATCTTTTTTCCTCTGTAGATGCTTTCCCCCCTCTCTGGCTTCTTTCAAGATTTTCTCTTTGTCTTTGGTTTTCAGCAGTTTGAGTATGATATAAGTGGGTGTAGTTTTTGGTATTTTTCTGCGTGGTGTTCTCTGAGCTTCCTGGAAATGTGCCTTGCGTCTATTATTAATTTTGGAAAATTCTCGACCGTTATTACGTCAAATGTTTTTTTCTGATTCTTTCTTTTTCTCCTTCTGGTATTCCAATTATGAGTATGTTCCACTTTTGAAACTGTCCCACAGTTCTTGGATGTTCTGCTCTGGGGGTTTTTTTTTCCACTCTTTTTTTCTCTTTGCATTTCAATTCAGGAACTTTCTTATTGACATACTTCAAGCTCACTGATTTTTTTCCTCAACCATGTCCAGTCTACTGATGAGCCCATTAAAATGCATTCTTCATTTCTGTTACGCTGTTTTCCATTTCCAGGATTTCCTTTGATTCCTAAGAAGGAGTATCCATCCCTGCTTACATCAGCCATTTGTTGTATGTGTTGTCCACTTTGCCATTGGACGCCTTTACAATTTAATCATAGTTGGTCATTTTAAATTCCCTGTCTGATAATTCCAAACTACATCATGTCTGAGACTGGTTCCCATGCTTGCTTTGCGGTCTCTTCAGACTGTGTTTCTTCTTGCCTTTTAGCATGCCTTGCAGCTGTATTGTTGTTGAAAGCCAGACATGACACACTGGGTAATAGGAACTGAGGTAAGCAAGCGTTTCACGTGAGGTTGTATGTTAATTCGGGCAGGAGGTGGGCTGTGTTTAGTGCTGCTGTAGCTGTCAGTGCCAAGGGCTTGGATTTCCTAGAGTGTCCTTGTTTTTGTCCCTCCTGTTTCCTTAGGCTTCCCTAGGAACTCCTCCTTAAATAGAGTCTGTGTTTGCAGCTCTTTCCTTTGTAACCCACTGTTGTTATGCTGGAGCTGGCTTGATGTGGTGGTAAGGTATGAGGGAGGGGAAAGATTCTGTACTCTTATGATGAAATCTCAGTCTTGCAGTGGGCTTGAGTCCCTGGGCTGCAACCTTCAGAGATGTTTCTTAGCTTTTTTTCCTCCCTCAGATGAGACAGGAAGTCTAGAGTGTGCTGGAGTTGGCTCTCTGCCTTTCCCCCAGATGGGCTAAGGCTCTGGTAAATTCTTTTCCCTTGCAAAATTATTATGCCGAAGCCTCTGGGCATACTTTCTAAGGATTATTATTCCCCTTCCCCGGCCAGAGCCAAGAGGAGACCATCTTCAGATTTCCACTGTGATAACCTAGTGGGGTTCTTGACGGTAAAGCCCATGAAAGTAGGGGGTCCCTAAGACTGGGCCCCCAGGCGTTTCTCAGCCTCATACTAGTCCACACACAGCCTCCACCATTGCTCAAGTTGCCACTTAAGTGTTCCTACCAGCTCCAAAGGCCTTTGCTCCAGGAAGAGCAGATCTTGGCTGTAATTCTCTCTGTTCACCCATCTCTCCAGATTTTGGGGTGACGTTTTGCCCTGTGACCTCAATTTTCTGATGGGACCAAGAAAAACCATTGGTTTTCAGTTTGTTCAGCTTCTTTCTTATTGTGAAGATGAAAGGGACACTTCCAAGTGTCAGAGCTCCCCCCCTTCCTATCACTTTCCCTCTCCATGTCCCATCTTTTGTCAGCTACAGTTTTTCTTTGGAAGAGCTAGTTAAATTTAACTTCTAAATGTCCTACAGCCACAACCAGGTCCTCTCTGCTTGGTTCATTGCTTGATTATAAAACTCAAAAACCATTAAACGGCATTTCATAATTATGACTATGTACATATTCATAATTCATAATATTCAGTGTCCGGGTAATGAATGAAAATTAGCTTTCTTCTCAGTGGCACTATCCCTGGGCCTCTGTGTCCACCTTTTTGTAGGCAAACCTGGGGGTACCCATGCATCTTTTCTAAGCCATTTGGGGAAAGGCGTTTCTTCACTGTAAGCTGCTTCCAAGGACATAGAGAGTAGGGTGATCTCTTTAACCATTGCTGTTTTCTGAACACGGGGCTCGGGTGAAGTTCAACATTGTCAACCTTCAGCTTTCCCCGGAATTCTGCACCACTTTCTGTTCTCTCCATTTTTCTCCTGCTGTCCTCCATCCTAGAGCCTCGCTCCCCACTCTCCCATTCCAGGTCTGTCACCCAAGAGTGTCCTGGGCTGTCCCCACTATTCTCCAGGGCTGGATCCCCTGTTTCTTATATCCCACATCTTTTTATTTATTAATTTACATTTCTTATTTTGCTGGAGTACTTCCTGGAGTAATTTCCTAAGAAAGTGGGGGAACAGGAAATAAATTTTCTCAGTTCTTTGTCTGAAACTATTTTTTATTTTCCTTCACACACATTGTTAGCTCGCCTGAACATAGACTCCTAGGGAGAAAATCATTTTCCCGTAAAGCTTTGAAGGACAGTGCCCCATTGTCTGTGTGTGTATATGTGTATGTGTGAGTGTGTGCAAGTGTATGAGTGTGTATGTGAGTGTGTGTTGAGTGTGTGTGTGTGAATGTGTGTATAGGGGAAAGAGGACCGTTTCATCCTCAAATGCCTGTATGTTCTTTTCTTCCTTAAACATGGTCTCCTCTCACTAAATCTATTTCCAGCTGAACAAGAATTCAAATGCATTCAGTGAATAAACCATGGAAAAATAGCACCAGATAAATAATTAACTAAATGATTACAAGAGAGTCTTGTTAAAACGTAGTTAGGCTCGATACTTTTATAAGCAACGACACAAGGGCTGTGGAATTTCTGTAGTCCACCTGTCAGTGGGGTGATCAACTTTTTGACGAATCAAAACCTTAATAAGGATCCGTCGCTCAGCCGCTTGTTTCTTCTCAAAGACCTCTTGATGATAAACATCTCTGTTATTTGTAATTATATGTAGATTGTTCTTTTCTAGATCCAAAATAGACTTTTCTAAATAATACTGAGATTAGCATATGCATTTGATTTTATTACTAAATTTTAATACCAAGTTGGCAATTTATCCTGCTGATGAAATAGAGCTGATTATCCTTTTCCTCCGTGTCTCCGTCGTGTAAGCCAGCAACGCGGGGCCTGTGGATGGCAGCTCTGCAGCTGTGGGCTGGAGAAGCACAACCCTTGGCTTGTTCTCTCTAGGAGCAGATACCCGAGTCGCTGGAAACTTTCCTCTCCAGCTTCCCGACGTTCCAAGCTGTTCTTTGACACACGCTCCATCCTGATGAAAGAAAGTTCAGGGGTCAAGGTGCCAGCAATCCTCAGGGAATCTAAGCTACAGAGATGTGAACTTTGAATGCAATTAAGCTTTATTTTGAGTTATTTTACATGGTTCATAAATATGCTCTATATTCTCACGAAACGTGGATTTGCTCTCGCGATGTATTCTTGTAGAAGATAAAGGTATTTTCTTCTGTGTCGGAGTGCTCTTTTTCTGCGTGGATGTCCTTGTTGAGACACAGAGACACACACCCAGATGGAATTTCTAACTGAGAAAATACTAAACGATGTAGGTTTTGTAAAAATATGTTTTGAGTGCTTTCAGCTTGACAGCATAATTTCAACCATTCTTGAAAAAGGATTTAGCATCTATTTTACTCAGTTCCTCTTTTCCTTTTCACTGTCTTTATTGTACTTCCCTTATTGTCAGATTCCCATTCCGCAGCGCAGGCCCCCCCGACCCTGACCCCACAGTCCTGCCCCCAGACCAGCTCTGCCATCACCATCACATGTATTTCCCCAGGATCCGACTCTGCACATGTCGCGTCCCTGCCGAAGCACCTTCATCTGACTCCGCCACGGGGCCAGATTCCTCAGCCAGGCCTCCTCCTCCATCCTCTGCTCTTCAAGCCCATGAGCCCACCGTCCAGCCTTCAAGTCTCAGAGCTTCAGGGCAGGACAGTCTGTGGCCCCCCCAGCCAGCAGTGGCCCCGCGCTCTCTCCTGTCATAGCCCTTCCCCTGTGCCCTTAGACTGCAGTCTTCGTGTGTGCTCGTCTAATAGCATAGCTGACTGGTGTGCGTGCACCTACAGGCCAGGGAATCGTGTCTCAACATTATTCATGTTCTCCACACTGTTCTGTGCTCAGCAAGTGTTTGTTGAATGAATAAGTGATGGTTTTTTAAATTAATATATTGTTTTCTTTCTTTTGGGACAAGTTGGGGAATCAGCTGGCATGGTAATTCCATCAATTACCTCGACTTCTTGAGAGCAGTGGAGAATAGCAAGCCGACAAAAGCCACAAGAGAAAGAGGAGAGCGTGCCGATCAATTTTGCGACCCTAAGTCCAGAGGAGGTTCTGAAGAACATCCAGGGGGTCGTTCCCTCCTCCAGTCCGGCTTTGTCAACGGTATGAGAGAAAGCACATGCTTTTTACTGTGGAAACTGAAGTTCTGGGGTTCACGCCAATTCCTAAAACCAGCTCTCAGCCCTGCCCCTCATCCTGGGCCCCTCCACCTCTCGCCACTCTCCTTGGGGCATCAGAACTCGATGGTTGGTCGAGAACAGATTGTTCACTGGAGCAAATGTGTATCCGCTTTTGCTCTGTACAAAGCTACCGTGAGCGTGCCCAGCATGTGTTCTGTGAGACGAAAGTGCTCGGTGTTTAGCAAAGGCTGGGTCTGCAGTGAGGGCAAGGGGTTCTGGGCAGAGGGCAGAGGACAGAGGCCTCAGGGGAGCCCGGGCCAGTGGGGAATGAGTGACGCCAGTGGGGAATGAGTGACGCCAGGTGGCCTTGAAGATGTTGGCCGGGGCCAGGCAGTGGCACAAAGCCTCACCGTGACTGGGAGCCCAGGGCAGGGGGTGTAAGAACGGGGTCCCCCGAGTACACTGACATTTCGGCTGACGTCTGTGTGACCCCGGGGCGGCGTGCCGAGACCCGGTGTACGTGGGCATGGCACTGCGGGGCCCATCCTCGGAAGACAGTGCTCGGGCCGCGCTCCCCACCGGGTGCTGGTCCCCTTTGCGGGTCCCCACATGAGTTCCCCCTGCAGCAGCCATGGGAAGAGAGATGCTGTGTGCAGAGGACAGGCCTTGCAGCCTAATGAGACGGTGAACACAGGGCCTCCCGGGTGATGCTGGGCGCGTGCTGTCCAGACAGCACAGTCCCAGCAGGGTTGCCTCTGTGTCTGCCACATGCAGACCCTCAGCCCCACGCTGACACCGAGGCCCACCTCGCTGAAGGCCTGCGTCCTCTCAGCACCGGGAGGCAAGCTGGGCCCTGCAGTCCAAGGTTCAGTGGGAGACAAGGAGAAAGGCAGGGCAGCCCAGCCAGCTCGTGAACGTTCTGGAATGCTGGCGAGCGTGGCCTTCCTCCCGACAGCAGACATTGTTTGCATGCAGGAATTCTCTGTGAGGATTTAGCATATCTGTGTCTTTATTTTAATGACTATCTAAAGATCAAAGAAAAATTAGTATGAACGCATTGCGGGCCATCTAGAAAGACCATCTGTACCCCTTTCGACACCAGGTTGTCCTGGCCCAGTGGTCACCGCGTGAGGACTGCAAACTCGGATGGGCACAGGGACCAGAAGTACAAAAGTGATGAAGGGGCCAGGCCGCGGCCACAGCAGGCCAGAGGCACAGCCCTGTGTAGAGCGCAGCTGCTCCCCAGCCCCTGCCGACTGCTGCTGAGCTGAAAAATGGTCCCCGCTCTGCTAGATCTTTGTATTTTTCCTGAGAAGCTGTGAAGCCTCCTGACTTCTAAATGTCAGCACGTGCTTCAGATTTGTCAAAAGCACCGTGCAGGCCAAATAAATCCATTCGCAGGCTGGCTCTGCCCCGTTCCAGTTTAGGGTGGCACCACGTCACATCTATCGGGATGTTTCTCAGACTGAGGTCCATGGAACCTGTGGGAGGAACCATGGTTCTCATTTCTGAGAAATACTCCTTAGGAGACGAGGTTTTAAGCAAGAGAGTGAGATTCTCTGGCCAAGAGACTGGCAGGTGGCCTGGAGGGGGAGGGCATTGGGGGCAGCGGGCCGAGGAGGGAATGACGATGTCTGAGGATGGCTGTCAGAAAGGGTACCGGACACATGGTGCAGCTCCTTGTGTCACTGGAGACACGTCTCAATGCAGCGTCTTGTTTCTGAAATGACACAGCAATACCTTGTATTTATGTAGAGTTTTATAGATCCCTAAGCCTTGGCATATTTGATTCTTCCACCCACCCCGTGGCTTGTCAGGCTGGACTGACACACGGGGAAGCCACACAGCCCCAGGGAAGTGCAGGTCCCGTGGCCACAGCGAGCCGGACCCCAGCTCAGCCCTTAGGTCCACTGAGCCTTGCGGCACCGCAGCACCTTCTAACGCCCTCGGAACAGAATGCTCGGTCAGCTCCCTTCATGTTGACCGCCATTCTCCTGAACATATGCCGAGATCCACTGTGCGCCGGGTACCTGGACAGGTGCGTCTTCAGGTTGCCATAGTAAAACTTGGGCCAACACGAGTTCTGTTGTCCCTCTTTTCATACCGATGAAGTTAAGCTCAGAGAGGTTAAGGGTTTATGGTGGGCGACACAGCCAGGGTTCAGAGTCTACCACCTGGCTGTGCAGCCAGAGGTTTTCCACTGTACCTGGCTGTGTCGTATCTACACAGGCTAATGAAAGCTTGAAGCCAGACAGTATTAAGGTTAACTTGGTTACCTGTATAACACCTTGTGGACGGGTGGGGTGTGCCCACTTAGTCCCGAGTGAGAATTAACCGCAAGGGGATTTGGGCTTGGGTCTGCAAGCACGTTAAATTCTTTCTTAAAAAACTAAGATCTTAACTTACCCCTTGATACGGATTTTCTAGTGCAATAGAAATGAATGATTTTGTTTCAACAGATGGGAAAAAATGTGCTTTCTTTTTATAGCAAATGTTTGCACTTCGGTTTGACTGCTTTACTGCTGGGCTGGCGCCGGCTGCCCCAGCCCCTCTGCACAGGCGCGGGCAGGGGGGTCTCCCCCACCGTAAAGGACAGAGCCTCGGTGTTCATGCCCTGGGGTGTGGGTGGGATGGGGCAGTCCCTCACTCCTCCTCCTGGCCGCTTCCCACGTCAGACTCCTATCGTGAGACCCCTGCCCCACACCTGGACGCAGTGGGGTAGCACCTGAGCTTCTCACTCACAGGTGATTCACTGGGGAGTAGAATTTAATGATGCAGAGACCTCGGGCAAGTGCCTTCGTGCCTCAGAGCCTCCTCGGGACCTGCGAGGACCGGGGCTCCTCTTTCACACCTCTTCGTCTTCGTATCCAAAGAGGAGGGACTAAGGCAAGTTTCCTCAACGACACGTCAACTCTCAGACGGGGTGCACATCCTACCTGTCTGTCTTCAGTCCTCGTGCGTTTATTTAGTAATTTAGAATCTGCAGGGGACTCACGTTCATTTGATTTCGTTTGCATTCAGAAAAGCAATACTTAAGAAAAATATTTTTGAAATATTCACTTGACAGTAACATCTGCCTTTTTTTTTTTTAATTGTAGGCATTTTCTGCACTGGATAAAGAGGACACTGGGTTTGTAAAGGCTTCGGATTTTGGACAAGTGCTTAAGGATTTCTGTTACAAACTAACAGATACCCAGTATCATTATTTTTTGAGAAAACTAAGAATTCATCTCACCCCGTATATAAATTGGAAATATTTTCTCCAGAACTTCAACAGTTACCTTGAGGAGGTAAGAATGTATGCAGCACATAAGCATTTCTTTTTGAAAATGGGCTAAAATTAGTGTTTGCAAAATAGATAATTGATTAAAACCACAACAGATAAATTGGCCATCACCTCAGTTAATTAGCTCATTCTAAATGAAAAATTGATATAAATTCTACTTAGTGTTAGAAGGTAAATACGTATCCTTTAATTCATTAGAAAGGTATTCTATTCTATTCTATTATTTTGTTTATTTTCAAAGAAGTTTAGGAGAGCCTGCTTTTGTCTGGTTGTTTTAATGAGTTCTAAGAATCTTAGATCCCTGTAGATGACCTAGTGTCGAGAGAAGTGAGGCCACTACACGTCAGGCCCTGAACCAGCAATGGGGGAATTGGGACCCACTTGGGAGACATTTGTTGAGGACCCACTATGTGTCAGGCCCTGGGCCATGTGTCAGCCAAGCCTGAGGTAGGGGTAATCATGGAGTTAGTAGAGTCCTGGGGGAAGTCTAAGAGGGCTTCCTGGAGGAGGGTGGTGGCTGACCACAGGGCTCTCGTTCCTTCCCGGGACCACTTCTCTGGCAGCACGAGCTGTTCCTTCTGAGGCTGTTTCTCCATTTCTGAATGTAACTGGACCTACAGCATTAGCGCCAATTACAATCTAGTTTCAGCCAACTTGGATTTCTTTGGTCACCATTCTGTGCTGAGTGAGAGTGGACACACAGGTGTACCTGCCGCCATGGAAAGGGAGATGAAAACAAATAGGAAAAATCCAAACATAGTGCAGCAGCTGAGTCACAACAGGCTTGTGCTGAAATGTATTTAACTGTCCTCCTGTAGCTGGACACTGGCGTCATTTCCAATTGCACACTTTTGTATATAGTGGACACCCGAGTTCATAAGTCCTTGATCTGGGATACATTCTTGGAAACGAGATTGCTAGAGCAAATGGCATGAGCGTTTTTAAGGTCTGAGACTCATTGTAGTAATAACAGCAGCAAACTCAATATAGTGCTTCCTGAGGGCAAGGCACCATTCTTAGTCCTCTATAGATATTAACTGGTCTAATTCTTTTGCTATCACTACGAGGCACATGCTAGTAATATCCCATCTTATAGACGAGGACTGGGGCACACGCAAGTCATTGCCCATAGTCACCCCGAAGGTGGCAGTAGAGCTGGTTTGTGGTCCCAGAAGCCTGGCTCCCGACTCCAGGTCTCTGAAGGCTGTGCCGTCTCCTCTGGGGCGTGTGAGCATTTTCATCTCTGCCATTTAGATGGACATTTCCTAACAAAATATACTATTTTGTTGCCTGTTTCAAAACTTTATATATATGATATTGTATCAAATTCTGTCTTCGGCACTTGTGTTTTTCTCGCTTAATATCATGAATTTAAGATTGGTCCGTGTTGCTACATTGGCTTTAGTTCACTCGCTCAAGCTGCCATAAAATTAGCCAATTAAATGATAAATGAATATATTCTATTGAATGAACAAACTCCGTTCAGTCGTCGTCCTGCTAATGGCATACAGGCAGTTTGCGGTTTTCTCCGTTACGAGCAGGGCACGGTCAGCCTTCTGTGACTGTGTCCTTTGCACACTCGGGGTCACTCTGCGTGGAACGGCTGCGGGAGGGGGCGGGGGCACAAGTTGAACTCCACAGACACCGCCACGGTGGCTGCACCTGTCAGTCAGCGCACGCTCCCGCCAGCCACGTGGGAGGGCTGCTGACGCGCCGCATCCCGGAGCCCTTGGTGTTATCGGGAGTTTCGTTTCTGCCAAGGCTTTCAAATGTTATCAGCCATCCAGGCTCCCTCGTCTGAGAACTGCCTGAAAGGATTCCACTCCTGTGTTGGTATGGGCGTTGCAAGTGTCTTCTCCTGGTCTGTGACTTGTCTTTTCTCTTTGTCTGTGGGAACTGTCACTATTTTTATGTGAATTATACTTTTTTTCTGATTTTAAAAGAAATACATATTGTGAAAAATTTGGAAAATACAGGAAAGTGTAAAAAGAAGATAGTTGTTTAACCCTGTGATGATGGTGTGATGACAGGAACAACCTCCATACGGTTTAGTGAGACCTGCTGAGCTCTGGGCCCTCCCCCTGGCATTTGCTCACCTGGTTTGCTGCCCGGATGAGGGAGGGGATACAGGTGGAACACGTGGGTCCCAAAGTCAGGTACCCGCCTCTGCAGCTGGAGTGGACGCCAGGCAGTTCAGCTTCAGAGCTGTCTTCTTCCCAAGGGCCACGCTGCCTCGGAGAGCTTCTTCGTCTATTTTTAATGCATTTACCCCCAAACCATAAAGTTTGCCATCTTAACCCTTTTTAAGTTAATGCACAACTCAGTGGCATGAAGTCCATTCACGTTGCTGTGTAATCATCACCACCCTCCACCTGCAGAACTCTCTTCGTCTTGAAAAACTGAAACCCTGTCCCCATTAAGCACTAACTCCCCAACCCCCCTCCCCCAGCCCCTGGCACCCCCCGTTCTACTTTCTCTAGGAATTTGACGACTCCAGGTGCCTCAGACGAGTGAAACCTGCGGTACTTGTCCTTTTGCGTCTGGCTTATTTTACTGAGCGTAATGTCTTCAGGGTTTATCCTCTTGTAGCACGGTCAGAACTCCTTCCTTTTTAAGTCTCATAATACTCCACTGTATGGATAGACCATGTTTTGTGTATCCATTGATCTATGGATACATCTATTTCTATCCTATCCAGTGAACACTTGGGTTGCTTCCACGTTTTAGCTACGGTCCTGTGAATAATGCCGCCATGAACGTGAGTGTACAGATGTAATGCGTGTTTTTACATAGTGGAGATAACATTTTAGATATAATCATGTATCTTGCTGTTTTTCCTTTAACATTAAATTCCACCAAGTCACTTAAAGTTCTTCCAAACATGAGTTAAAATGTCTGCATAACATTCCATCAACTCCTTATTTTTAAGCGTTTTGGTTTTTTTCCAGCTTCCGCCACTGTAATTTGCTGGGCCATGAACACTTTGTATGCAAGTCTATGTACACATTTTGGACCTTCTTCCTAAAGAAAGAATCCAAGAAATAAAATAACTGGGCTCAAAGGATAGGAATACTTTTATTGATCTTGAAAGCAGCCCCATTTTTAAAAAATAATTTTTTCTAGTAGGTTGAATCATATGAAATCACCATTTTTAGAGTCCTAAATGATTGAATATTGACAATTTCATATGGTTTAAGCTAATATTTGTAGAAGTAATCTGTGTCCATTTTACATGATTTGGAATATACCAGTCATTTTGAAGGAGAGAATTAAAGTCAGCCCTAGGGACGAACAGTGTTAACATGTTGGTATATTTATGTCTAATCCTCTTTTTTATACAGATATCCTTTGGGGGTGAGGTCAAGGACGGAGAGTATATGCTGCTGAATTAGGGGGTGGTTGGGGATTCTCACAACTCTTAAAAGACTCTTTAATATTTTTTAATTTATTTTTCTTTGAACTTTAAAATTTTATTTTATTATTTTTTATTAATTTTAATTAATTTATTTATGTTTCGGCTGCGTTGGGTCTTCGTTGCTGTGTGCGGGCTTTCTCTAGTTGTGGTGAATGGGGGCTACTCTTCGTCGCGGAGCACGGGCTCTAGGCGCGCGGGCTCAGTAGTTGTGAGCTACTTGCAGGCTCTACTGGCGGCACGCAGGCTCAGTAGTTGTGGCGCACGGGTTTAATTGCTGCGTGGCCTGTGGGATCTTCCCCGACCAGGAATCGACCCCGTGTCCCCTGCACTGGCAGGCGGATTCTTAACCACTGCACCACCAGGGAAGTCCCAAGACTCTTTTTTAAACAAACGTTTATTATTTGTATCAAAGTAATATATGCCCATATAGAAATAAAATTGAATTGTTGCAAAAGATTTAAAAGCAGAGATCACTTGATCAACTGTTCACCACAGTCCTGCTTCCCAAAGGCAGCCACTGTACCCCATGTTGTTTCTCCAGCTGCACCTTCCTGTCTCTCAGCACCTCCCCTCCCCTCCATTCCCTAACCACCCCCAAATAGGAGAGAGGGCTCGGCTTTCCCACCCCAGCTGCCCAGCTCCTCCTCTGGGACCCCTGCACGTCCCTCCGGAGCTGCCTTTTCACTTCCTGCGATATCGCGGGCATTTCCACGGCAGTGATTTGTCTCTAACGCACATCACGTTGCTTTAGAGACGACGTGGGGTGGATGTGTAGCGTCCCAGTCACTCTGTCCATCAGCCGGCATTTCCTGTGCGCCCGCTGGGTACCCAGCACTGAGCGGGTCCTGAGGTCAGCCAGGGGCCTGCGTTCTAGCGAGGGAGACGGACGAGAAATGAGAATACGTACCCGATGTCAGAAGCCAGTATGTGCTGTGGGATAGAATAAACCCAGACAGAAGGGCAGCCTGGTGAGAAGCGGACACCTGAGCCGAGACCCAGCGGAGGGCAGGGAGGGACTCAGTGGCCTCTAGGGAGGGGCTGTCGGAGCACAACCCTGCAGAGACCCAGCAGGAGGGAGCCCTCGGGGCTTGAGGTGTGGCTGCCTGGGTGGGCGGGAGGGACGGATGAGGGGGGCAGCCCTGTAGCTCACTTCGACTCTGAATAACATGGAGACCCAGGGAAGGTGTGGGGAGAGGAGCGTCGTGACCATGACCAACTAACATTTTAGAGAAGTCACGGTGGACACCGGGTGGGGAAGGCTCGGGGAGGGCGCCCGGGGGCGCCCAGGGCCAGTAGGGAGGCGGGCGCACCCTGGGGAGGGATGCTGCTGGCGTGGCTGCTTCTGGATACATTTGGAAAGGGGAAGGTGAGAGAATGAGTCAGGAGTGGCCCAGGCTTTGGGCCTTTGAATGGGGAAGGGAGCGGGAAGACAGGTGTCCTGGGTCAGCAATCAGCTTCATTGGCTTCGCTGATGCCCCGTCGTTGGTCTTGAAGCGACTTCCAGTGTTCCGAGTTCTAATTACTGTAGAGTGTCCTTGCCGAGCACCTATAAGTACGTGCCCAAACCCTTCCAGCGGCTCCCACTGGAG